ATGGGTTAATACAATTATGATGTATTATAATACAATAATGATGTATTAGTGTCGGAAACTTTCCAACAGTAGTTGCACCTGTGTTGAGCCACGATGTTAATTTTGGAAGTTTTCCTATTTTCTCCTCTGCAGCTCTCTTCCTTTTTCTCTTCTAATGCTCCACTCACAACATAATGTGTCATTACTGCTGTAAGGGTTATTCACCTGGAAATATATCATAAATATTTAGTATTTAGTCCCACACCAGGATGTAGGGTTATATTATATAAGTGTGCTTGCAACAACATTTGCAACAACAACACCTAAATATTTAAACATTCTGCTTCTATAATGAACATGTACTATGCTTGTGGGGACCTTTCACTTCTTCCCCTTTCCCTGATCTCAAGCTGGTATCACCATCACTATGGTCGATCAACTGGCAATAAAAAATACTTCCCTTATAGTAGACGTAGATCATGTTGATAATGTCCACACTTTACTCCCATAACACTGTTGTCCAAGGAAAATTATTGGAGATAGATTTGCCTCAGCGAGATTAGTATGATATTAATGGCGACTGCCTGTGGCCCTTCCCCACTGACCGCATCCCTTGTTCTCCAGATGTCATCAAGAAGTAGTTAGAGGGCCCACATTTACTCGATTTTGGAAATGATAATTAAGTTGATTCAAGGAAAATGTTTTTATGATATTTACAGTCCAAGGACTGATGTATTAAGAATGATTCCCATTATTAGGTGGTGAAATTAATAGCGACATGTGGCAATGCTATCTTCGTTTTCTACCGGAGGAAAATTCCACTGTGTCACGTCTTCTATGAGTGAATTTGTTTATTACAAAACAACAGCCACATTATCTGCCTATTGTATTAAATGTTAGTAAATGATGTCGGTTTTTCCAAGAGTCCTTGTGTGCCGTGTATGTTTTCTGTATTCTCTCTATTGCAGCAGTCTCTCCTGCTCTGAAGGGGTAAGTGTGTATCGAACAGTACTCAAAGCAGAACAGCATAAGTGATTTTAACAGTATGAGTATTGTGATGGGATCCCTGGATTTAAATGTTCTCACGATCAATCTGATCATTTTCCTGGCTGATTCAATATTTGCTTAGTTATTTTCACTAAATGTTAGGTCGTCAGGTATCATTATTTCCAGGTCCTTTGCATGCTGTTTTCCTACTATGAGAAGATCTGATTGTCTTTTACTCTGAATTTCGTTTATTTTTCTTAATTTTTTCATTCTTAAGTATCTGAAATTCACTGTTAAACATGTTGTTTTCGGTTGCCCAATCGAAGATATTATTATTGGCTTGGAGTTTAGTAATGTGATATTCAGAAGTGTATCACTACAGAAGTGATATTCATTCTGATTTTTGAGTCATTTGCAAACGATAACACGAAGCTAAGTTTTTTATTTTTGTTTATATTTGATATGAAAATGAGAAAAATTAATATTTACTATTTGTGTCTGCAAAATGGAGCTATTAGCTCTTGGACCCCGCATTTCTAACCAATCTAACTGCCAGGCATAGATTGGGGTGCAAGGACTGTGCCCAGAGGTGCAAAGGTTTTCACTGTTCCTTGACTTTATTTTATTAATCTCACTGCTACTCTTGGAATTCTGTTTGACAGGAATTTGAATATCCAGAGCTCTATTTTATCTGTTATTCCTGTTGATCTCATTTTATTGGCTATCATTCCATGATAACATTTATTAACTGCCTTTGCAAAGTCCGTGTATACCACACTGCACTTTGTTTTTCTTCTAATACTTCCATGATTTTGTCATAGCATTTGATTAATTCTGAAAGGCATGATCTTGCCGCTATAAATCCATTTTGACCCAGTATGTGAAGGTCTTCAACAATGAAATCAAATTAAGTGATATATCAGTGAGAAAATCAGTGGGAGCCATGAGGAGGAATTGAACGTGCTCACTTGGTACTCCCACGTAAACACTCTTAGAGTCTAAACAACTACACCTCGACATGCAATGCAACTTGGGATGCCACTGGATTCTTTAGGATTTTTTAGGCTTCCAACTGAAGCCCAATCACGGTTTCAAGCATTGTCCCCCCTGGCTTATGGTCCAGTACTTCTACCTACAACCTTTTCATCAAATATGCAATGATATCACAATAACTTGATGTATCAATGCTCTTCACCATGTCGTGGTGTAATGGTGTAGGGTGTTGGTGTGGGAGTACCAAGTGAGCTGGTTAGATGTTGACCAGACCACACACTAGAAGGTGAAGGGGCGACGACGTTTCGGTCCGTCCTGGACCATTCTCAAGTCGATTGTGATGAGGAAGTAAATAGGCAAATTGTTGTTGTTGTTGTTATAGATTTAGCTACTCGGAACAAGTTCCAAGTAGCACGGGCTATGGTGAGCCCGTAACTTATCTGGCACAGCAGCGGGGCAAGTACAATAGGCAAATGATTGATTGATTGATGAAGATTAAGCCACCCAAGAGGTGGCACGGGCATGAATAGCCCGTAAGTGGTGGCCCTTTTGAGCCATTACCAGTATCAAGAGCTGATACTGCAGATCTGTGGAGGCGCGACTGCACCCTGCGTGACGGGAGATGTCTCCCGGACCAAGTGGTGACCAGATGGTGAATAGGCAAATAGGAAACAGGCAATAAATAGGCAAGAGAGAGGTGAGGAGCAAAGTAAGGTGTAGTAGAGGGGATAGTAGTAGGAATTGGTTAGGAGCTGGTTAGAATCCTCCTCAAGGCTCCTACTGATTTTCTCTTGTGAAGGTCGCTGCTTTCCATAAAATTGGAGTTCTGACTCCTAATCAGCCTTTCAAAACTTTTATTATGCATGATGTTACTGCAACTGGTCAATAAATTTTAGCCATGGTTTGCTTCCTCACTTATGAAGCAGAGCTATATCTTCTGATTTAAATGTTTCTGGTATCTCCTCTAAATTACCGTCATACTGATCCTTTACGATTTCACCAATTTCTTTGTCGTACTCTGTATGAAACTTCACTCAGAAGTATTGGTCCGATACTGATCGAGGATTTTGATTTGATTTCTCATATGTAAAGAAATATTTTGAGTTATTTCCCTATCTTTTGTATGGCTTTCTGTTCCAGTTTAATTTCTTCCTTCTGGTGTTATTGCTTGTTACGAACCCGACTCCATCGTCGGAGCACGGAGCAGCGACGTCAACGCCATCTGTGAGTCCGCTCCCGAAACCCCCACAAAATGGACGACGCCATCTGGTGGTGGCGGTATGATACCTGCAAGAGACTCTAGATTCCTGCCTTGGCCAGCCTGAAGAGTCGCTGTAGCTGACCTCTGGTGAGGTGACGCCTCGAAATCAGCGCCATCTATTGGAATATGAGTTGTATGTCAGTGTCAAGAGTCCATAAGTGGCATGTCCTAGTTTCACAGGTACCGGCCAGTTTACTGATGACGTGTCTGTATCCACAGAGGCGACGTAGGGCTGCTGTGGTGCGTAGACAGTCAGTCTACCCAGGCCAGCCTATTATCTCTCTACTCCATTCTGCTTTACGTGAGCAGTGAGCCGCCGCCGAAGAGGAATTGAGTAGTATCTGCTGTCTGCTTGTGAAGTGGCAGTGACAGAATCCGGCGTATCCCGGACTGGCTAGCGGAAGAAACGACCGACAGTGAGGTGCTACGGAGGAGTGTAACCAGCTAGTTGCAAGAAGCTCCTGCCAGGTGGTTCGCTACCCTTGTATTGGTTCGTGTAGAGGCCCAGCAGCGCCAGGCTGATGTTCTCTGCCAGCACCAGGCTGGAGAGTGATTGTGGGCGTTCACAAGGAGCACCTAGTGAGGCTGTGTATAGGCTGGTCCGTGGCTAAGGTAGACTCGTTGGTGTTTCCCAGTACTGGTTGAGGACGGTACTGTGTGTTGAGGAAACACGGATGTTGACAAGGCAGCATTGCATGAGCATCGAGGAGCGCTTAGTGTCCTATGAGAGCGACACATGTGTATATATCAGTGTAGTAATACTTCGTTTATGATTCTATATAAGGTGATGGGAAAGTGATAATATGTGAATATATATTGTTAAAGGATGAAGTGTTCTATTCCTTTAAACTCCCCCCCCCCCCCCCCCTTGTGTTTTACTTGCATTACCAAGCATACTCCTTGAAAGCCACTACCGACTTGGGGTCGGATACTAGTACTTTGGTTCCTCCAGCAAAGAACCCGGTTGCGACCCATAGTGGCCGTAACATTGCTTCAGTTTCTGCTCTATTTCTTCAATTACCCCATATAAATGTTTATTTGTTGGGATATTAGTTTATAGTATTTTCGGGTTGAATGGAATTTCATCTGGTTTTATTAAACTACTAAAACAGGGAGAAGTTGAACTACACCTCCAAATATGCTGAACTTGGCAAAATGAGTATAACTTTGTATAGTGATTTATGTATTATCATGTATTATGATTTATGTCTGTTATATTACTGAAAATAATGTGTTGAAAATAATTCAGTCAATAAATTTACCTAAATATCTTCACGTGATTTTTCAGGCATTACAGACGATGAGGCACAATAACGTGCCTGAAGGTATGATGACCAAACCACACAAAGAAGATTGAGAAACAACGACGTTTCGGTCCGTCCTGGACCATTATCAAGTAGGTGATAATGGTCCACGACGGACCGAAACGTCGTCGTTTATCCATCTTGAGGTTATCTTGAGGTTATCTTGAGATGATTTCGGGGCTTTAGTGTCCCCGCGGCCCGGTACTCGACCAGGCCTCCACCCCCAGGAAGCAGCCCGTGACAGCTGACTAACACCCAGGTACCTATTTTACTGCTAGGTAACAGGGGCATAGGGTGAAAGAAACTCTGCCCATTGTTTCTCGCCGGCGCCTGGGATCGAACCCAGGACCACAGGGTCCATCATCTTATGTGTGGTATGGGTCATCATCATCTCTTCATGCATTGTTTCCGTTCTTAACACGAGCCGCAGAAAGTCACAACACCTTCACCACAGTACAGTTTGGTCACTCCCCCAGGCGCTGCTGCCGCTGCTGCGTCAGGCTGGTGGACGCGCCGGGAAGCCCCTGAGTGTGCAGCGGGCGGCGGTGGTCAACATCTCCGCCCTCCTCGCCAGCATGGGCGCCTACCTTAGCATGCCTGATGTCTATGGCTACCGAGCCAGCAAGGTGAGTTGTGTCAGGAAAGTGAGTTGGTTCAACGAGGAAACTAGTATTAGCAAGGTGGGTAGTTTTCAACAGTAGACGTTTCAACATAGTGAAGAGTTTTTGCTTTGAACAAAAAATATCGCTATGTTATCACTCGTTTTAGAGTGATAACATGGCGATATTCTGGGTCTGGGTAGGACCCAGATAACTAGTAGATTCTGGGTCTGGGTAGGACCAAAAGATGTCATTGGTATGCTATCTTATCTAGAGATGATTTCGGGGTTTAGCGTCCCCGCGGCCCGGTCCTCGACCAGGCCTCCTATTTGTTACACACCCCTAGGAAACAGCCTGTAGCAGCTGTCTAACTCCCAGGTACCTATTTACTGCTAGGTGAACAGGGCCATCAAGGTGAAAGAAACTCTGCCCATTTGTTTCCTCCTCAGGACTAAGAATCCCGAGCGCTGTCCACTCGCCTGTCAGACTCTAAAATGCTGTAACAATTTTAAGAGTGGATTTTAATAATAATAATAATTCATTGTTTTGGGGGACAGGAAGCCAGAGTGTATTCATACACGTTAGGCTTATATCGAGTCCCCCCCCCCCCTCCCCCCCAACATGGTCGAATTACTGACCCTGCCCAGGATGCAACCCCACGTCAAGCTGAGTACCTACTTACTGCTAGATGAACAGAAACATTAGGCAAAAGGAAATGTGCCCAACCATTTCTGTCCAGCTCAGGATTTGAATCCGGAATTCTTGATTGTGTGTCGACAACGAACCCGACTGTACTACTTGAACCTTTTGCGTTGGTTGGACCGAAACAAGTCGTTGCCGTCTGTCATCGCTTTAAGACTGAAGTGTAAGTTGGATTGAGTCCATTGTCAAAGGATACGTTAATTAAGAGTGTGTGATGTATTTGTCAGTGTCGTCAGTAATTCGACGTTCTTGTACCCGCTTTTAAACATGTAGAGTTGTAGTTTCGTTTCAAATAGTTAAAATTCCATGAGATTAAAAATAAAATTATTTCAGATGCTTTAAGAACAAACGAGATAGTAACCGAGCTCCAGCTCCTGTCCTCCATCTTTGCTGGGGGTTTTCCGTTATTTACAGTTCAATTTCCATGAAATTAAATATAACTATTTATTAAGAAAAGAAAGCAGAGTTATCGAGTTTTATCTCCTGTCCTTCGTCTTGGTTTACTCTTGTATTTTGGTTATTAACAGCTCAATTTTCACGAGATTTAAAACAGAGCTTTTTAGAAACATTAAGAACAAATGAGATAGTTACCAAGTTGCAGCTCATGACCACTGCCTCCCAGAGTTATCGAGTTTTATCTCCTGTCCTTCGTCTTGGTTTACCATTTTGGTTATTAACAGCTCAATTTTCACGAGATTTAAAACAGAGCTTTTTAGAAACATTAAGAACAAATGAGATAGTTACCAAGTTGCAGCTCATGACCACTGCCTCCCGTTCCAAGTCGTAGTTTGTCTTTATAGTTCCGGACAGTTAAACATATAATTCCTCGCATCATCTTTGTACATTATAAGCAAGTAAGCGAATCTACATTCAAACTACATTCTCTCCCTCTGCTCACCCCACCTACTGTAGTGTTCCCGTCACTCACCCTCAACCCACCCTCTTTCAGCTTGCCTGCTGCCTGCCGCTCTACTCCTAGAGCGTGCTGCCAGCATCTTTCCGCTTTCATATCTCCCCCTCACACTCCCCACCAGACTTCCCGCTCACATACATTCTCCTCTCATGCCCTTCCTTTTCAGCGGCTTCCCATGCGAATTTAAATTTGTTTTCACATCTCTTTCTCATATTTACTGTGTTATTCCAACCCATCCTCAGGAATCAAAGTACCTTTGAAGACACAGTACTTGGAGTACCAATGCTGCATAAGTTAATATGAAGCATATAACTATAGAATACATGGCTACCACCTATGACTCCTTATTTTCGAATATTTCCGTTCCCATGACGAACTAAAAAGGCATGTTTTATCTGTCACAGGTGTGTCATCTATATAGTAGGTATATAAAAACATGTGCATATTCGAATGGAACGTTGTATCAGAATTTCAAAGCAATCGGTGAAAAACTTTCGGAGATTACAGCATGTGTTCCTCTTACGTCCAACAGATTGCGCTGTTTTTCAAAAAAGCATGTTTTTTCCTGTCATAGGTGAGGCATGTATATAGTAGGTATAAACAAAATACGCGCCTATTCGAATGCAACGTTGTGTCAAAATTTCAAAGCAATCGGTGAAGAACTTTCAGAGATTAGCGATTTTGAACAAACGAACATTTCCATTTTTATTTATATACTAGCAGTACCCGGCCACGTGTTGCTGTGGCTCAGCAACACATGTGCACTGCTGAGTCACAGCAACCTTCCCTGTCCCCCAGTACTCCCCTCCGTTCCCCCCTCACCCGTCTTCTAGGCCTCCTAACCATTCCCCACTCCACCGTCCCCTCGTCCTCCCCACCATTCCCCACTCCACCGTCCCCTCGTCCTCCCCACCATTCCCCACTCCACCATCTCCTCTACCTTCCCACCATGCCAAACTCCCCTGTCTCTTTGTTCTCCTCACCATTCTCCTTTCCCTCATCCTCTCGTCCCCACCATCCCAAACTCCCCTGTCCCCTCGTCCTTTCATACCATTACCCCCTCCCTTGTCCCCTCGTCCTCCCCACCATCTCTCACTTCTGTCCCCTCATCATCCCCACCATTCCCCACTCCCTCGTCCGATGCCTTCTCATATGGTTTGATGTTCCCATCAGAAAATTGGGAACATCAAGTGATCTGATGTTCCCATCACTGAAATATAAGAAAAACAGGTAAAAAATTAAATGAAAATATGAAAAAATAAAAAAATAAACTATACTCATGAAATGAGCATATGGTAAACAACACAGCTCAATTCCAATGCAATTCACAGAAAATAATTAAATAAAAATAAATTAAATCTATGAAAATTCAATTTATCAATGCAAACAGAAGCATTGAAATGGAATTGTAACATATTTAGTATAACATGTGTGTTGCTCTTGCATGCAACAGGTGGTGCTGTTTTTCAAGAAAAGCATAGTTTTGCCTGTCACAGGTGTTGCATCTATATTTATACTTACGAAATGAACGGTATGGTAAACAACACAGCTCAATTCCAACACAATGTCACACAAAATAATTCGATAAAAAATAAAATAAATCGACATCTATGAAAATAAAATTTATCAATGCAATCGGAAACCTTGAAATGAAATTCGTGACATATTTAGTATAGCGTGCATGTTGCTATTATGTGCAACAGATGGCGCTGTTTTTCAAAAACGCATGTTTTTATCTGTCACAGGGGTAGGATCTCTATAGTAGGTATATGAAAAGACGCGCCTATTCGAATGCGACGTTGTCAAAAGTTCAAAGCAATCGGTGAAAAACTTTCTGAGATTACAGCGTGTGTTGCTCTTACGTCCAACAGATGGCGCTGTTTTTTCAAAAAAAGCATGTTTTTTCCAGTCACTGGTGAGGCATGTATACAGTAGATATATAAAAAGACGCGCCTATTTGAATGCAACGTTGTGTCAAAATTTCAAAGCAATTGGTAAGGATGTTTTGAAGATTTCCCTCACATGACAGTGTCCCCCTTGTATCGAGAAGCTGGGATTCTAGACCTGATGTCACGAGAGCCAAGAGATGTCGCTACCAATCAGAGCAGGTTATGGAAAACGTGGGAGGGCCTAGGGACTGTAATTGGTCAACAAGTGATGACGTCACAGGCTTGTGGAGGTTACCCGGGAAGGCGCGCGCGCGAAAGAGAGAGAGAGAGAGAGAGTGTTGGAAATTTCCAACACTAATAAACTACTATTGTATTATAATAAATCATTATCATTATAAACTAACTACAGTAGTTACTAAATTTACTAACAGTAGTGTCAACATAAACTAACCATTGCATCTGCGTATTAATGCTAGAATTCTCATGAAATAGAGCGACAATATTGCGTCAGATAATGTCTAGTTAGACACATTTATTACCAATGGGTTAGAGAATTGAATGTGGTTCTCCAAAATCATCAGTATTCCGTGTAATAATTACTTACGGATAATATAACTCCCAATAATCTCAAACTGAGAGTTATTAGCTACAATTGTTATCAAGTAATAGTTTTTCTGTCACGCACGAATGTCATGGAGGAGAATAAAATCTTCTCCATTTCTCGTTTAACACCATAAAACGAGAATATGCTAATATTTAAGTCCCTATAATTGCAACTCCGTCCTCATTAACGTATTACATCCATAATCGCGAGGAAAAAGAATTATTTGTGATTAATAATTTCTGTGGTGAATGCGAGACGCGGGTTGAGGTAGGGGGCGACGCCATTGTAGAGCGAGCGTGCCTGGACAGCGTACGAGAGAGAAGGGTCCTGGCGTCAAGAGTGGCGAGACACGTGGCGATTGGGAGTTATCAGCAAGAATTACACTGATACCCAACTAATAGTGAATAATTATTCTTCCACGTGCTCCATAGTGCTCAGCCAACCAATAACGCGTCTATAATTAAAGCCAAACCCACAAACACGTGTACAACGCCATGAAAGTTTGGGACTGGCAGACGCGATATCGGCAGACTTCAGTAGTACCTACACTCACGTTAAGTATAGTTTCTTTCTTGATGCATCATTTAAGATCGTATATTTGTGAGTAGTCTGTCGTTACATAGTGAGACGACCCCATATCCAACGTTAGTACCACATCGGCATTTCTTCTATTTTCATGAATATTGAGATTAAAAGTAGCCTATTCCAATGCTACTTAATATTCTTTAATTTTCAGCTCATATGTGAGGAGTCATCGAGTCGTTTTCTTCATTCGTGCTATTCACCTCTAATTCCTTCTATGTGGAGATCCTGAGATCACGAGGACGAATCACAAAACGATGTCATAGAAATCGTCTTAAAGCGAAGACTCTTTGTACACATTTAATTCCTCCATTTAATTCTTATACAAATTTTGTAG